GGAAGGAAGTGAAGGACTGTTAACAAAAGCCACACCTTAAAGAAATGCATTCAGTATTTTTATACTATAACCAGACGGAAATTCAGCTCTCTTCGAACCTGATTTTTAAAAAACAAGTAAAAAGAAAAATGTTATTCCAGATTTGTTATTTCCCTTTTGCATAAAAAATCGCCCACTTCCTGGTTGTACCACAATTACCGAGGTACCAGCATAAAATTGAAATAAAAACGCTCTTGAACCAGGATCCCGATGGAAAATGCCTGTTTAGATTTGGGAATTGTAAGTGTACAAATAGGAAAATTTCAATGTTAATATTACGAACAAATTTCGATTTCTAAGAGAATAGAATAGGACGTCATCTGCTGTAGTGTGCCACCAGAGGGCTACTCTCTTGTCTCTCTCGCAAGCGTTTGACCGACCCCTCCGTTCCTATACATATGTACAAGCTCCTCAACCGACTACCCAATATCCCGTCGTCCAAGGCAGGGCTCGCTAAGAGCCTTACCGATCAGTCCACTATCCACTAATTCCGGTAGCCAGGGGCAACCCAAAACTGTGAACAGTAACAATAAACTGGTACCAATCACAACTGGTCTAATTTCCTTACAACTTCGTCATTACTGTTTTAACTTGTTTACGAGCTGATAGTATTTATCATCTTATTTGGGCTCGGAAGATCAGTTATTTATAGAATAAAAAAATAAATCTGATGTTAATAAGAGAAAGACCTATCGTTGTTTCGACCACTGCAGCAACGATATAAATAGAGAGACGAAAGATAAGTGCAGAAATTGTTGACTTGGCACACCGTTGGCGACAGATAAGGGAATGTGGAACGATAAACGCCGGAGATATCACGGTGTTGCCGGCGTAGTGTTAGATACTTTCTTGGATCAGTAGTGAAAAATGATAGGGTGCGATCGAGCCGCGGCGCCGGTAGGATCTCATTATCCCGGAGGAAAGACGAGATCTTCTCGCGGAAACTTCTTTCCGCGGTTGGAAGAAGACTCCCACCCCTTCGACGATACAGAAACGCTTTCCTCGTTAGTCTTAATTTTCCCGCAGACCGACATAGGCCGACACTTCATATCGCGAACGACAGTACATCCGCGGGAGCGTTAATGACACCGTGGATACACGAGATGAATAAGATCGTAATAACGAGTGCCAACCGTTGTTTGCACGGACCCCCTTAATTTTCCTGCCTAATGTTTGGATTAATTTTCCGTTCGTCTTTTTCGCGCCGCGTATTTACTTTTGTGGGATAAAACAAAGAATGTAGGCCGTTGTCGTCGTCGTTCCTCGGCTAAAAATGAAATCCTTTTCGCTCGCGCGAGGATCCGCGTGTAAAACGCGACACGGCACATCGGGCCAGCCAGCCATTATTATTGCACGATTCTCCGATAGCGCTATTCGATTTTCTTAGCCTTTTTAAATAAATTCATTTCGAACATTCTCTCCGCCAAACCAAACCGTTTATTCAGAAGTTTGTCAACAATCGCACCGTGTAAACGCTTAAATCGTCCGATAGAAAATGAGTTTGCCTTTGTCAAGACAAAATTAGGGGTTTAACTCGTGAAATGATGCAGCATCCCTCCCAACTCCTCTGATTTAGATCAGATAATCGCCTAATCGAGTCATTAGAAAATTTTAAGAAGCGATACGAATCACTGTTTGTAAAAACAATAGGATCGAGTTTATTTAGAATTCTCTGATAGCGCTTTCGATTTTCTTAGCCTTTTTAAATAAATTCATTTCGAACATTTTCTCCACCAAACCAGACCGTTCATTCAGAAGTTTGTCAAGAATCAAGGTTTGTCAAAATTAAGGTAAAATTGAACTCGAGAAATTATGCAGCATCCCTCCCAACTCCCCTGATTTAGATCAGATAATCGCCTAATCGGGTCATTAGAAAATTTGGGGAAGCGATACGAATCACTGTTTGTAAAAAGAATACGATCGAGTTTATCTAGAATTCTCTGATAGCGCTTTCGATTTTCTTAGCCTTCTTAAATAAATTCATTTCGAACATTTTCTTCGCCAAACCACACCGTTCATTCAGTAGTTTGTCAAGAATCAAGGTTTGCCAAAATTAAGGATTTAACTCGAGAAATTATGAGCATCCCTCCCAACTCCCCTTATTTAGATCAGATAATCGCCTAATCGGGTCATTAGAAAATTTGGGGAAGCGATACGAATCACTGTTTGTAAAAAGAATACAATCGAGTTTATTTAGAATTCTCTGATAGCGCTTTCGATTTTCTTAGCCTTCTTAAATAAATTTTTTTCCAACATTTTCTCCGCCAAACCAGACCGTTCATTCAGAAGTTTGTCAAGAATCAAGATTTGTCAAAATTAAGGATTTAACTCGAGAAATTATGAGCATCCCTCCCAACTCCCCTTATTTAGATCAGATAATCGCCTAATCGGATCATTAGAAAATTTGGGGAAGCGATACGAATCACTGTTTGTAAAAAGAATACGATCGAGTTTATTTAGAATTCTCTGATAGCGCTTTCGATTTTCTTAGCCTTCTTAAATAAATTTATTTCCAACATTTTCTCCGCCAAACCAGACCGTTCATTCAGAAGTTTGTCAAGAATCAAGGTTTGTCAAAATTAAGGGTTTAACTCGAGAAATTATGAGCATCCCTCCCAACTCCCCTGATTTAGATCACATTATCGCCTAATCGGGTCATTAGAAAATTTTAAGAAGCGATAGGAATCACTGTTCATAAAAACAATAGGATCGAGTTTATTTAGAATTCGAACCCAATATATTTGGGATGATTTTTAGCAGCACGGTTCGTACCGAGGCGGCCGATCGATACGTCAAAATATCTTTGACTGATATGTACATAACGTGTTTGATGAAAAAAGGGAATCGAAGGAAATGTCTGACATTCCAAACGCGTTTCTAAAGAGAGATATCGCGTATCGCTGCACATACACACGGAGTATGTATGCACACAGACATATAGCAGAGATGGTGCTCTTGGCCCGAGCAAAATCTCAGCCCGCAGGAATGACAATAGACTGTCAGATAATGAATCCCCACTGTCACCCCCTTTACCATCCCACGCCCTAAAACCCACCCTCTGTCGTGTTCTCCCTGTCTCTCGCTGTCCTTTACTCCCCGACGTGGCTCCTCTCTCGTCAGCGACAGCTTCGAAACTGGCAACTTTCACCCGCGGAGAACAAACTTTTACGCGGCACCGGTGGCACGGAAAATTGGACTAATCGAATCCGCCGCGCGATATGCATGCCACGCTAATTGCTTCGCGAGCAACGCTTGGAACAATTTGGATAAATCGGTGGGATAGAAAAAAAAATTCGATCGTGGTCGGCGAAAAATCGCGAAATTAAACGTCGAAAAGTACGCGCGAAAATCCGCGTAACGTTGAAACAATTGCCGTTACGCGGTTCCGAGTGTTCGAATTTCGAACGCGACGTCCCCGCGTCGGTGTCCGTAAAATCACGAAACGAAAGCATCGGAATAAAATAAACAATAATCGTTACGCTCTTATGGAAATGAACGACGAAAAGGAAAACGTGACTTTTACTTAGGTTCCATTTGTACCTATCGCTAACAGTGCCCCTCGTACTTTCCACCCTCGGCTCTTGTTGCAAACAGGACTATGACCGAGTAGGCGAGGCGTCCACTTAGCGCTAATGCCCCTTTTATTGGTCAAGATTTCAGTCAAAAGCTGAATAGATGCCCGCCTGGCTCGTTCTTCCACATCAGCTTCTTCGAAAAATTAAACGAAGTTATCGACTCAACCGTGTTTCCAAATATTGCGTTAGCTCTTCGTAGATCGGTTTAACGCGTTCATTGCCGCGCCGATTTCACAAAAATTTCCCACCGGTTACCGAGCTTAATTTTAACCATTCGGTGGTTTAACATTTTTTCACCTATTGTGTGTTATTCGTGTTTGAATTAAAAAAAAAAAAATCGAAGGTTGATATTTCATGAGACATCGGCGTGGCGATAAACGTGTTGAACGACGCTGTGCTAATGGAAATGTCCAAATGAATTTTTAAATACCGATTGATGTTAATTAATCCGTAACTAATTTCTCTCGGGCGATTATTCGGCGAATTTGTCCACCTACCATCGATAACGCTATGCGTGAATATTAATCCCGAATTTTGAACTCGATACTCTATCTTTTATGTTTTCGCGTGTAAAAGAAATTATTCGTTTATCCGATTACGGTTAATCCGATGGCACTTTTTTAATGAAAAGTATAATGCGTATTTAAGTTTACCATGGTACGTGCAAATCCTCTTTACTGCTTCCCTACCCCCCTCGTTTTTTTTTTCTTTTCTTTTTTTTTTCTATGTGAACTCTGAAACGAATGGAGCAGAGCCGGCAAAAAGAATTGGAACGTGAGGTGTAACATATCGAACTGAGTGTTGAAGCCGAGCGAGAGAGCGAGTCGAAAAAAAATTTCGTCTGGAATAACTCGAGGCAGAAAAAGTGAACAAAAAATTTCCATAAAAATGCACCCGCACGTATAATCCGGATGAAGCTTAGCATCGCGCGAAATGGTGTGTCACTGATGGAAATGGCTGAAAAAGCACGAAATTGGTATGTAGAAGCGATGGTAATCGAAAACTGTAAAGAGAACTCGCGTATAATAACGTCGTACGACTAATTTCAAACGATATTACTTCACCGAATAGAAATACATTTTGATAGGAAAACATACTATTTCTTTTATTTAAAATAATATTAATATTTATTATGCGATAAATCTATTAGAATAAATTTCACGTTAAATACAAAAAAAATTTAATCCAAACGTAACGAATTAAATTTTGTAACAAACATTAAACGTGAGGAGGTCGCCAAGATATTAGTACATTTTATTTAACTTACAAAATAAAGTTAAAATGTCGAAATATTTTATGAAAATATATATTTATTTCATTATTTATTTTGATACATTCACGACAGTTTGTATATAAATATGGCTTACATTTAATTAGGACCTGAAATTTTGTTTCTGTAATGTATATAGTTCTGTTTCAGTCTCATAGAAGGACATACTCGATCGCCTTCTTTCGATATTTAACTTCTACAAATGTTCTTTACGCGACAAAACATCGTTACTGCTAAAATATATAATAGATTTTTCAAAATATATTAATTCTACTAAACGATTTAACAGAATATTAAGGAAATTATTAACGTCAACAAGTATACTGTAGAATATTTTTATTACAAAATATTTGAGATAATGTGTATTGTACTCACTGATGTACGTTCTCACAAAATTTGGAAGATAATGATACCGATAATAATACCGCGTACGCGGTATACACATTACCAAATTTTTATGTTGGACGTAATATTGCAGAAGTTTTATATCTAAATTTTACTGCAAAACTCATTTGTATAGATCAAATGATTATGGCGCAGAAGAGTTTAGATATAAAGGAAAGTAATATCCTTGAAAACGGAAATGCACAGTTTAGAAAAATATGAACATGGCTATGTTTGTATTAAACAAACTTTCACATCTAAAAAATGTTTACTTAAAAAAATTGATAATTGCATTTAAAAGTCGAATATGAGATACATTGCCATGAGATCTTGAGTTTGAATAATTACGCATCAGCCTTGAGACTGTTAACTGATTAATAGAATAATCAATAGCAGTAAATTAAGCTTTATAGATCACAATGTTTCAGTATTTTACGTTCAACAAAATTATTTTGTAACTTAGGCATTTTCGCTAACTGGTCTCTTCTTGTTCTAAAAAAATAAACATTTGTCTTCATTATTAAACGATTGCACGTCAAAAATTATACAGACGGTCAATTTAATTCTGAAAAAATTCTTACCGTTTGTTTAGATGGTTTGACATCTGCAGTAGTAGTACGTGTTTTAGATCTTTCTTGTTCCAATTGCGCATGCAAAGATATTACCTCCGATGTTAATTCATCGCGTATTTCTTGTAATTTTGCTACTTCTGCTAATACTGATGCTTTATCCTTCACTAAAAGGTAGAAGCAACGCTATAGATTATATTTACAACGGTATTATTATTATTAATTAGAGGTGGACGGGTATCCCGATATTTCAGGTACCCGCGCCTCCCTATTATTAATAAAGCAATATCGGCTTACTTTCTCCATGGGATAATATTTGATAAAGCTTTTTATTTCTCTCTTTGACTTGTGTCAATTCTTCTTTTAAGCTCTCAACATGAGTCCTTAATTGATGTATAATTTCATCCCGTTTTTCCACTTCTACTTTTAGCTGAGCAGACGTGATATCATCGTCTATTTTTTTTAGCCTTGCTTTTAACATATCTTTTTCCTTTCCCTTTGTTATTTCGTTTTTTGTTTCCTTTTCAACCCTATCAAAAAATTCTGCGTCCACATCTGAAAAATTTTCATTAATTACCTATCACATTACTTCATTTCGTGCATTTTATTTATCGATAATTTGCAACGATAAATAAATATTACCTTTTGCTTTAACATCTCCACAATCGGAAGGTATAACTGTATTTTGAATGGTGTTTCCTCCCATATTGTTGAATTCCTCCAACGACATAGTGGCCTTTTTTGATTTTTTTCCTGATTTCTTATTGATGTCTTGCTCTTTGTCTGACTTTGACGCATTTACTAGTTGTTCTTCGTAAGCCAGCTTTGACAGTAAGATGGCTTCGTGTAACTCTTGCTCAAACGTTTCCTCTACAGCCTTAAGGAAATCACAATTGGACGTGATAACACACAACACATATAAATATGTCACTACTGAAACAAAACCTTAGACTTAACAATTTATATTTGAAACAAAGCTACAATTTTCACTCTTATTAGTCAAGCCTGTGCTGTCCTTATTATAGACAATTCTGGGGTGTCATTGCATAAATATCCAATATAAAAATTACAATTTTATTAAGGAACAAAATCATTTACAAAGCTTCTGCCAAATAAATTTGGTAAAATTAAAAGAATTAATTTATATATTACCATTGTATCTTTTTGTTTCCATTGTTCCCACTGTTGATTTTCATTATTATTGTTGGTCTTTTTCTTTTTCCCCTGTAAACGAAAAAAACGATTATAAATTAATGTTGTAAAAAGCAAAATAAAAATATTATTTAACAAATACTTCGAGAATGTATGTTTACCGTCACGGTAAATCCTTCAACGTTTAAAAAACGTTATAGAATTCGGTTTTTAACATCGGAAAATGATTGACATTTACCGCGACTATCAAGAATTAAAATTAGCGATTTGTACTACATAACATTCCCGCCACTGGATTTGTAAGTAAGTACTGTGACGTTTTCCGGCTAATCAAAAACAACAAAAAACAACAAGGACTACACACATAATACCTTGTTTTGTTTTTTCTTGTCATCCTTCTTCGGCTGCTGCTGTTGCTTCGATTTGTCGTTTTTAGCTTTTTGATTTACCTTTCCGGTGGGAACGTTCTTCTGAGTTTTTTTCGGCTTACATTCATCGTCTTCGATGCTGAGCACCGCGAATCTTGACGGAACAGCGGTCGCCATTTCTGTGAACTGTGAATATACGTATTGATAACGAAACTACAGGACTTCCGGTATTGTTACTGCCTCAAGACTCGTAATATTTATCGTGCCCCTCGCTACTGTATCGTATAACAAACAGAAAATGTTTTAACGCGATGCATGCTACTTACGCGTGTATATACTTATTACGTGGAAAGGTATATATAACGAAAAATGAAGAACGTCGTTCAACTACGATATAAACCGGAAACGAATGGTAAACGTTGTTGCAAAACGTCAGCGCTCCTGGCGGAAAATATTATCAATATTATGCTTAACCGCCCGGTGACACACTAGGTCCAACTGTTGAAGAAGAAATATGAACATCAATCGTCATATTATGTTTCAAAGCTATTTTTTTATACGCACACATTTGTAATTGTCTTGTATACACGATCATTTTCTTATGGAACTTATTTTAAGATTTAAATTAGAATAAGAATCTGTATATTACTAATTAATGTGGCAGTCGAAACAAAATAATTCATAATTAAATGTAATTAAACATTTAACGTATTTTAACAAATATACGACGTTGCGTAAGTACTGGAAAACTGTTAACATTATACGTTTGTTGAAATTGTGAAAATATGGTCTTTTCTTAATCGGATATCTAAACTTTTATTTGTGCAAACATCTTTACTTTTTGAAAATCGATAAATGTGGGAAACCTGAATATATCGATTAATATAGTATTTCTAAAACTTCGCCTGTCCAAGAATCCTTTCGATAAAAGATTTTAATTCTATCAAATATTTCTATGTTTCGCACTATAATTTAAACTAATGTTGAAGGCATCTTTAGACATGGGCAACTAGTATGGCAATCAATGCGTTAAAATAATGTATTGATATTTTAACGATTTTTATTGTATTTAAAGTTTCATATTTTTTCATTTAAACTTTTCGTATGTTGTTCACTAATAATGCATACAAATAAGTACGACAAAAAATAAGCAGAATTTATTTCATACATTTTTTGTATTGAATAGTATTTAAAAAATCCGTCAACATTTGAAGAACTAATTTTCAAAATGAGTTGATATTTCTTCGTGAAAAATTGTTTTTAAAGCGTGTGGAAGTAAGAATGCAAATTTTGAAAAAGCTACAATTAATAGTACTTGAGGAGAACATTCATAAAGAAACGATCTATTGTTTAGTGGTCTAGGTTAAAAAATCCCTTTAATAAAAATAAAAACATTACAAGAAAACACTTTTCTTATTTCTCGTAATAATATAATTGTTCTGCTAACAATACAACTCGCGGGGCCCCCTATGATTCGTAGATTCCAGTTTGAACAACGTTGGATTAACATAATTTCGTTATTCAATTTGATTTTATATTGTATTGTTCTACGATTCCATTTTTACTTTACATCGTACTGTTGTTATAAAAAAAGAAAGAAACGTTACAATTATTATGTACCGCGTTTTATAATTTTGTGTATGTACACTGTAATTAATTGTATCTTCCATTACCCCACGAAACAATTCCTTACAACAAGCAAGAATAACTTACGTAAATAAATAAATAAATGTATAAATATAGTTTACATTTAATATCTTGCTTATCGTGTCATGTCGTACATTATTTATTACATCGTATATAATAATAGTATTACATTCTGTACTATTGCAAGTGCATGACAAACTGAACATGACTATTAAACTTTTCCATCAAAAATTATACATGCATAGGGTTCCTAATAACCGTTTTAAAAAGACAAACCGCGAAACGTATGGTAAGTTGTAGGCGTAATATTTTGATCCTTATAACCTTTTATTTTATAATTGTTTTTATATTTTTTGTTGATCGTTGACAGAATATTGCTCGTAAGGAATTACGTTCGATTGGTTCTATCGTTTTTACGGCGGTCCAACAAAAGTGCCGACGGTTAATTATAAAATTTGTAAAATTATCGAAATAACATGAGCATCGCGAAAGGTTATTAACGGGCGATAGTTGGCAGCCCTGCCGGATCGAGAATCTCGATCAACGAGAGAGAAGGAAGTATCCATCTACACATCCATCCATCCACCGTACGGAGCCCCGTTGCACGTCGGGAAACTGAACATGCACGTACGTCGTACAAGCGACGTAGAGTGTTGAATGTGTCGATTGCGTTCGGGGTTGGCTTGCACTTTTCGCGGTTGTATGTGCGCGCAGCAACGTCGCGTGGTCGGCGATCGAGGTGTCGCAAAGACTCCTAGTGTATAGTGAATGGGTGATAAAAGGCGAGGTGAAAAGAGAAACTTGTTCTTTTCCTGGGACGCTCGCCAATTCTGGAGGTGCACCGACTCTATTGCGGCGTCGTTCTAACAAACAGCCGGGAGTACCGCAAAGTTCACAACTGTGCATCTGTGTGCGGAGCATCCAATCACGGAATTCGCGGGCTAAGATGCCCGACGTGGCTCTTGTGGACAACGTCGGCATCGAGTCCAGGAACAACGAAGCGGTGCGCGACGAGGAGACCGACGCTCGCTCCTGGTTTCCCGCGAATATACCACCGATTCCATTTTTACGTATACCCGTGCATATGGGCGAACAATTTCTTGTATTTTGAAAAGTCGGACAGTGTTCGTGCAAATTAACTGGCTGTTTTAAAAAAAATATATATATACGTATATACATATATATATATATATATATATATATTTGTGCTCAATGTGTAGCACGGATAGTTGCTATTCTGTCTTAAGATAACAACATAAAAACAACGACTATTTACTAACGCACTATTTTTCTCATACGGTTTTAAGGACACATGTTACGCATAATGTGATTAGAAAAAATATTTTGTGAAGAATGTTTACGGTGCAATTCATAAATCTAGGAGAACGTATATTAATTAAAACTTGGTGAATATCTTCAAAGGGTTTGACAGAAATTACATTAAGTATTCGTGCTTACGCCAGTTAATGAAAATATGCATGCAGCTACTAAAAAAGTGTTTTAATATCGGTACATGTATTTTAAGCTCGACGAACTATAAAATGAAAGAATAATAATTACAATGTGCGCAGAAATTTAGAAAAATCATTTCTTTAATACAGTTTCGTATAATAATCGTATTAATTTTTCAATGAAATAAAAACACATAGCGTCGCAGCGTATGTTAAGACTATATTTTGATGTATAGAGTATTTGTTTCGTAATATTATAAATAGAAGCAGTTAACATTAAAGGTGCTCGTTAAAAGACAAATGTGAAACGAAAGATCTGTTTTGTTTTTCGATGCTAATATTGTGAAAAGATAGAACCAAATATCTTTTTAAGATGTGCGAACAAACAGAGATCAGTTACTTGGATGGAGATGTTGTATGGGTAAAGCTTGGAGCTTGTTGGTGGCCAGGACAAGTTACTGGATTTCATAACTTACCTGAAGATATTCAAGAAGAATTTAAAAAGAAACCTTTGATAGCTGCTGTAAAATTCTTTCAAGAGGATACATAGTAAGCAATTTACTATTTGTATAGCATTATAACATTTGTATAACAATTTTCATTGTTTTCAGCGAATTTGTCAAGAATTATCATCAGATTTATAAGTACAATTGCACTCAAAAAGATGATTTCATCAGGAAAGGACTAGGTATACTTTTTACATGCAAATGATTTAAGATGCACATTTTTTATGATTTTAGATTTAAAAAAAATATGTTTAATTTAAAAATATGTATTAAATATAATCGTATATTTTATAATGTCACTGCTTGCAGATAAATACAGAAACAAAAGTAGAGATGGCTCTAGGTACATGGATAAATTTCCTGGAGATGTTGAAATGGCTGAAAAGTTAACTGGAGGTGATCCAGATATATTAAGTCACGATAAATTTTCTCCGGAAGAGAAACCGAACATATCGGCTCTGTTCGGGGATAAAAAAGTTACTAAAAAGAAACGAAATCGCGAGGATCTTCTTAGAAGAAGCGACAGTATCGAAGTCGTACGAAAAATAACACACCCACGGTTTTTAAAAGAAAGCGATCATGAAGTTCGAATTCGTCATCAGCCTAGTAGCTTACCGTCTACGCCAAATAGTTCTGGTTCTCCACAATATCCCTGTCATTTGTGCAATTTCACTTCTTCCCGCGTTAACGTTATCATTTGTCATATAAAAAGTCATACGTCTGGCGGCTCGCCAATGTCAAAATCAAAAGTAAAAACTTATTCTCAATATAGAGGCAGACACTCGGATGTAGATACCCCTAAAAGAAAATACGTCAAAAAAGAAAAAGTTCAGTTAAACAGAAGTAAAACTCGTAGCGAATCTAACAAAAGAAAACAATCTAAACAAAATGAGAAAGTTGCTAAAAAGAAGAAAACGGATCCTAAAATTCGTGATACTATATTGGCGGACTGGGAGGATGAATCAGATGAAGAAATTAGTCTAATTCAGAGTGATAATAGTTTATCGACAAAAAGTCAATTTGATCTTGAGAAATCAGAAGAATCTAATCAAAAGGACAATACAATATCAGATACCACTGAAATTATCGCAGAAACCGAAAAATTACTTAAAGAAACTGAAAAATTAACATCAATTGATTTAATGGAGGACTCTATGAGTGATAGCATTAATACACCAAAAAGTTTGCAATCAAATCTTCCTGATAAAAAATCACTAGAAGAGAAAGACGTGAAAACGGATGATGTTGATGTTAACGAATCTACTAACAAATCACAAAAAGAGAAGGCAATTTTCAGTGCTGATAATGAAAGTAAAATCAAAGCATCAAACAATGATGATAAAAAGTCGTTATTATCTTGTTTTGATTTTCACGAAGAGGAGCCATCTATACCCCCTGTAAGGAAAAAAGCACGTGCGTTTCATCAGAAGAAAGAAATTATAAAAGAATTTGAAATGAGTCAAGCTTTGAAAACGGAACAAGAAAAAGATGCAGGAAGTAATAAAACGGACGATATTCATGTTAAACCACAAGAGTTTGTAAAGTTAGACACACAAGTATCTTTGAGCGATGAAGACAAACAAACGAACAATGAAGTTGAACAAACAAAAGAAAAAAATAAATTTGCAAAAATATCATCGGATGTACAAAAATCTGGTTCTGGTGATGGTGATGGTGATGGTGATGCAAAATCCGAAATTGTTGAAATATTCGAGGTGGTTGAGAAGGTTGAGGGTGAACATAAAAACGCTGTAAATGTTCCAAAAACTTCTGATATACAAGATACCCGAGCAGCAAATATTGATAAAGAATTAACAGTAAATAAAAAATTGGATACGCAAAGTGTGTCTACTGATAATAAACAAGTAGAACCTAACGATACAGTTACCGATGATAGTACAGAACCTATCAAACAGAAGCCTTCAAAAGAAACTGAAGATATTTTATCCGAACAGTGTACAACAGAAACAGAGGATGAAACTGTTTCCGAGTCTGCTGACACGCTTCCTGAACAGAGTGAAAATTCAGATATAGATATGCTAGATCAAGATCAAGCTCCTAATTCTGACTCCACGAGTATTTTATTAAATAACGATGAATTAAAGATTACTCCACAAGTTCGAAAGCGCAGAGGTAGGCCAAGAAAATCAGAAAAAGTTCGTACTAGTACTAGTGGAAATACTAGCGGAAACGAAAGTCCAAGAATAAAGGATAATAAGTACACTAAAAAAGTGTTTGAAACATTTGAGGCAGACAGGAGGACTTCTGAATCTGACAGTGAACGTTCGAGCAGCGGCAGAAAACGTAAACCGAATAAAAAATATTTAGAGACTAGTATATACCTACAAGATGTGGATCAAAAAATACATAAAACTGATGAAAGTCAATCTGAAAGTGAAGAAACGAGTTCCGAAAAAATAAAAAATAAATCGAGGAGGAATAAAAAGTTATCAGGAATTGACAAAAAAATAAATGAGGATAGTGAGCTTGAACAACAAAAAGAGTTGGAAATTTCTTGTAATGTATTGGATGCATCAGAGAATAATGTTAATGTTTCTAGTATAAAATTAAAGGATGATTCAACTGAAAATAATTCGTGCAAAAATCAAATGATAATAGAGGTAGATAAAGAATTAAGCGACAATCCACCTACCATCGAGAGTTCTGAAAAATTGCAAGTATCTTCAAAGAAAAGCAATTCTCCGAAAGAATCTAAAACGTGTATAGTTTCTAGGGATACGGGAACGTCAATAACAGAAAATATTTCTCAAAGTGAAATTGTAACACCTGAATTTGACGAAACAAAAGATGATGAAATGGAAACTGATCATACATTACCTTTGAGCAGTATTCATCAAGTAGAATTAGAAGATGTAAAAGTGGAATCATCAAATACACTTCGGTTGGAACTTTCACCAGAGAAGGAAGTATCTCCTCAACAATCAGATACCCTAAAACCTGTCGATATGCTACCGCCTAAAAAATCTCAAATAAAAAAATTCGAGCTATCGCAAATTGATTTTTTTGACACTGATGTTTCCACCAATAAAAGTACCGTAGAGTCTGAATTAGATAGTGGGCAAGAAAAAGTGAAAGACTCAAATATTGAAACAATTAAAACTAACACAGACTCGGAAACAGTTACTTCTTTGAAACAAGAAGAAGATCTTCCTTCAGAAATACTTGAACAGAATGTAGTAAATGAAGAAATTGTGAATGATACGCCAAAAGAAGAGAATGAAGAAGAAGTTATGAAAGAGACTGTAGAAATAAATCAGGAAATTCATAATGTAGAAGCGGAAACATCCGATAACCAAGAACAAGAACTTAAATTGGAAAATTCAGAACAAGTATCCAAAGAAGCACCAAGTGTAGTAAATGAACCACAAATTCCAAAAAAATCATCTATGGAAACACGGTACAAAGGAAAATTTACACCAGAAACGGGTGCTAAAGTAAAGAAAGATAAAGAATCATTTTCAGAAGAAAAGACGACAAATACGTTCCAAGAAGCTTTTTTGAAAACTCTACACATGGATAAGAAAAAAGGTATTGTAGACGATCAAGAAATTATTGGGAAAGGAAAGAAAATTAAAAAACCAGTAAAAAAGAAACTTGAAAACGAAAAGGATATAAATATTTTACCAGTGACAACCCAAGATGTAAAAACTGACGATGATTTAAGTAAAAAGTTAGAAACCATTCATAACAGTCAAGCTCAGGAAAATAATTCTCAAGTTACAGTCGTGAGCAATTTTGAAGGTATAGAAGTCATAGTTGATCAGAATCTTGAAATTGACACAAAAGTGGATGATAGTATATTACAAAACGTTGATCAGCTCGCATCGTCATCGACTGAATTTGGCATTATGTCCAAGTCACTAACGCAATACCCTACCGCCGAGGACAGCTCTAAATCTATTAGCTTAGACATACAAAAGGTAGACGAATCTTCAAGAATATCTACGTCCACACCGTCGCCATCATCTGATGTTACAGTACCAGTGAAAAAACGTGAAATGCCACGAATAATTGAAAATGTTACGTTAACCGAACCTATGCAGATTTTGAAATCAAAGTTACTGGATAAATTACCACAGAAAGGAGTGAAGCATAAACTAGAAACAGATAATATGAAAAAAGGTGATCAGAAAGGTAGTCCAAAGACAAAGATAATGAAAATTGAATCTCTTTCGCCAAACACCAAAATGAAAACTGGTCAAAAGGTTACATCACCTCATCTGTCTTTGACTAAAAAATTACAAGTATTGAAGGCCGAGGAAGCAGAAACAGCCGCAATGATGGAAGCACAAAACGAACAGTTAAATGTAAAAACGTCAAAAACTGCTACTGCGACAACTACAACTGAGAAATATATTCAACAAAGTTCTCAGAGCCTGGCAGACATGGAACTTGATATAAATTCAATGCCATTTGTCTTGAGCGAAGATGTTTTAACTCCCGAAAGCATCGAACAAATGCCTGTTGTTATATCCTCTATTATACCTGCATCTAGTACGATACCAGCAACTTTGTCTTTTACACCCACCACGCAAATAGTGACACCTACTCAGGCTCATTTTAAATTGAACGAAAGTACAAGCGAACTATCGCCTACGAAGAAAAAAAGCGGTACTCCTGCAATTTTGAAAAATAAAAGTAAAGCAAAACCAACAATTACGAGTATAAAAACGTTGGTACCGCCACTTACCGGTGGCGTAAAAGGTTTGAAATTTCAAAATGCGCCAGCAACAAGCAAAGTTCCTCCTCTATTGACACAGAAGGGAACACCAGGTAAATATGTCGTTGTTCAAACATCTGGAGGACAGCAATTACGTTATAGTGTTCAGGGGAAAACTGGCACGCAACAAAAGATTGCTATACCGTCTGGTAAAAGTACTGGAAATACACAAATAGTTCAACAAGGGGGCAAAGTTGTTATATTAACGTCAGCGCAATCTGGTCAAACCAAAATGTTACCTTTAAATATTTCCAAATCATTAGGTGGTAAAGTTCAAAGAATTATGACAAGTAAAGGTCAAGTACTTTGCCCTATTAGTCCACAGGGTATTATAAATTCAAAAACAATAATTGCTCCAAAAGGGGATGGTGTTTCACCGACAACATCTAAGCTTCCTACTGGCCATAAGATTATTAATACACAAAGTATAATAGCATCAAAGGGGGTACTGACTCCAATTTCAGGACCGATTGCCAAGACGGCTCTGTTGGGAACCTTATCTCAAGGAATTCTTACAAAAGGTGGAATTTACACCCCAATAAGCGCTTCTGCTTTGAGCGGAAAAACTATTATTGGGTCAAAAACTTTAGTTACAAAAGGTACAACCATTTTATCTCCACAGAACTTAGGTACTTCGAAAGCTATTTTAACTCCTATATCTCAAGCTATTAGTACAAAAACAATTTTGAGTCCTCAAGGTATCGTAAGTACTAAAGCTACTGTATTGACGCCAATAACCGGGCAACAAGTAAAAGCTATTGCGGCAAAAAGTCCATCCAAAGGCAGCAAGGTACATTATCAATCTGTACAACAAAAGGTGCAATTACCTATGTTACAAAAATCGCAAAAAGCTTCAATGTCTTCGCAAGGAAGATCTGGACAACTAAAGGCTGCAAGTAATACAGTAGTATTACCGAATACTGCACCTGCACAAAAGACTGGGCAGCAAGGAAAGAGAGTAATGAAACAAACAGTTGTACAGCAAAATATTTCATCTCAAGGCAGTACGCAACAGGCAATAGGTATTAATCCACAGATTCAACACAAAGGAAAAGCTGTATCTTCGTCGTCTATACAGAAAGTAATTGTGCCTCGTGGTTCACGGCAAGCAAAAACGCAACAAAAAATATTTGTTCAGAAAGTACAAGAACCTGCAATCACGACTGTACAAAGTATTCACACGAAACAATCAACACTAACAAGTGTGCCAAGTATGTCTAAGACAATGACTGAGCAAAAGCAAGCAATCGGTAGTGCTACAAACATAAAAACTACTACAAAGGGTCACATAATAAATAAAACTACCCAACAGCAGAAAAATTTATTAAATATCGCAATGAATTCGGCAACTACAACCAATGTAAATGCAAATCTTTCTACACATTTATCACTTCCTCCGCTCGAACCTATTGAGCCTGATAGAAAATTAAAAGTAGAAAGCGTAGTTGCTGAAACTGTGCAGAAAGAACAACTTAAAGTAGAAAAGTATAATATTGAGAAAGGTAGTGAAATAGAAAAAATAGAAGAACCAAAAATAGCAACACAACCGCAAATAATGGCTTTACCGACAGAAAGCAGCGACGGGACGCAAACTTACGTTTTAGTAACTATCGACGAACAGGGACAGATACAGCCACTCGATAATAATACTCTTATGTCATTAGAAGGCACTACGCAAAATCCAGATGGCACAAGAACTTTGTACATAGATCCCAGTTCATTGGGAGAAGCAGGCACATTAGACAACATTGTTCTACAATTTGACAGTGGTGTATTGCCAAGTATACAATCTAGCGTTACAGAACCCACTCAGACAATTATATCAGAAAGTTTCCCTACTTCAGAAGTAATACAAACATCAAATCAAGATATTCTAGCAGCTGCTCTGGCTAATACAGATTTCCAACAAGAAATTAGTTTATCGGATAATCCACCAGGATGTGTAATGACTACTGGTTTAACTCAAACGAGTTTGATTAATCAGACTATTTTACAATCGACTATCATCCCTCCCACCGAGCCAATATCATCTGCCTCTGTACTTGAAACATCATTGACTCTAAATCAACCTATAATGACTCCACTAGAGGTGCCTAGTAATTTACCAATACAGTCAGAATCAACTCCAACTTCTACTGTAGCAACTATTCCGTCTTCTCTCGAATTACCAATAACGATCACAAATCCTAACATTTCTTACATTTCAACCGGAGAAGCACAGATTCAGATCCCTGGTAACTCTATGCCAGATATTGGAGAAATCATGGAAAGTCCGAGTACAGCGGAAATCACTCCAACAGAAATTCCTGCAAGTACTCAGTACCTAGTGTTACCGAATTTGGAAAGTAACATCGCTGCAGATACCCAGAATGTACAAAATGATGCTATTTCAATGCCTAGTGTGTCATATTCAGTTTCAATACCGAACAATATGGTTTTACAAGGTTCGCAAGTTCAAACTACTCCTTCAATGCCTATAATAGATGATACTTATACTGAAAATGTGCAATTTGCTTCTACCATAGAATCATCGATGACAACAGAACAAACTTTTGTAGATGTACCTGTTTCCGAGATGCTTGTTTCGAAATCGCCTGTTTCTACAGAAAGTATACAATCGCAAGATATTACTGTAACATCAGACATGATAGTATCTCACGACGTTCCTGTATCTTCTCAAGAACCTATTGTATCAACGAATGAATCTTCTATTTTAAGCGAAGACCAAGACACAGTAATATCTTTGCAGGAAGAGATCTCTTCTCAAGAAATACCCACTAAATCAGAAGTGATGGTCTTACAAGAAACAATTGTTGAAGAAGATAGTTCCAATGTTGTAGTGGGTAGTCAAAGTGAAGAAGTTAGTAATAACGATAGTATAGAACATGTGCAAATTGCGGAACAACCAGACGAGTCGACGACGAACAATGTATCGATAATAGATGAAACTGCTTTAGTTACATCTGAATCCAGTGGAAAAATGTCACCTGTAGAACATACGAGCTTCGAGGTTTCGGATTCGAATGAAATAAATATGGATAGTTCGCAACCATCAAAACATATAGAAAAATTTAAAGAATTGAATTTGAACGAACAATCTAATAATAAAGTTCCCTCTCCTGAATCCGAAGAACAGGCTGCAACGTCGAACGAAGTAGAAATTGCTCAAGAGACAGCGCAAATTTTACCTTCAGAATCGTTGAACCGTTTAGATGGGCAGAGTATGGATGTAGATGAAGTTATCGAGTCTAATATTCATGCTGCGAGTACAATAAAAGAAGACTGCCAAAGAGACGAACCGTCGTCTCAGGGAGAATCAGATTCGGTTCAAAGAAATTTAGAATTACATTTTGAAGAAACGAATTCAGAGACTAATCATGAAACGCCGTCACAGTCGTACGAACAATTTGGTATAGCAGTGACTACCGATTCTACAGATTTGCCTAGTCAATCTGCTACAAAATCAGAAAATTCGAGAGAGCCTTCGCAATCAATAACGTACGAAACCATGGAAACAGACGAAGAAGCAATTGTTACAGAGCCACCAAGTCAATCGTTTGAACATTCAAAAATTAACGAAGCTTCTCAATCGTACGAAACTTCTGCAGAAGCAAGCACAAACGCGCCTACGCAGTCTTTTAACGAACTTTTGCAAAGTCAAGAGGAGAGATCGACCGTGGACGAAGCAATAGACGACCAAACCTTTCCCACGCAAAGCTACGAAGTTGGTAAAGCAGAAAATATTTCAGAAAATCTAGAGACAGACACTGAAATTAGTCAAGAAGGGAACATGCCGTCTCAGTCTAATGACATTGGTGCTGACGGTATTGGTACATCCTCAGTTTCTACAAATAATTCTGGGCTTAACGAAGACGAAACAGCCAGTTCGTCTTATGTTCCAGAAACTCCAGAGAATCAAGAAAGAGATCCAGATCAAGAAAGTGCAATAAGTACATCATCTTGTGAGATTCCACCTTGCGCAGAATTAAATATTGCGTCATCTAGTGGAGAGCACATAAGTATCCATGACAATGGAATACCTGATATACCTACATCTTCGTATAATTTAAATCCAGACATTTCATCAACTCACGTGGATTCTGTACCAACTTCTAGTTTCGAGGAACAGAATGTATCTACTTCTTATGAAGTGCCAATCTCGATGCCTGGCCTAGAAGATACACCCTCCCAGAATTTTGTTACTGAAAGCACAGATCATAGAAATGAACCTTCTAGTTATTATGCCCATCACCAAGAAGTAACAGCAAGTTATTATGAATCAGTAGGTCAGGAAACAAATTCTAGGCTGGGTGAGGATCCTCAAGAGGTCACTCCGAGTTATTACGAGGGTAACCCGCAAGAAGCAAGCCAGAGTTATTTTACTCCGGAAGAAGCTACGCCGAGTTACTCCAGTCATAATGTTTCTCCTAGTTATTACGATCACAGACCAGAAAGTGAAGCAAGTCAAAGTTACTATTCTGCAGAAAAAACAGAGCAATCCTCACAGAATATTGAGGCTTCGCAAAGTTTTTATCAGGAACAATCGGATGAATTAAAATTAAGGCAACAAGGAGAAGCTACTCCAACATATACAGAAAGATACCCGGTTGATTATACATTGGAGAATTCACCAATAGAAAGGCATGATCTTGTAGAAAGTTCTGTACCAGCCACCAGGCCTACAGAAAGGTAATACATTATGATAGGAAATAGCATTGTGCTATAAGGAGAGTCCTTGTTTTCATAGACATTACAGCCATTGATTGATAAACTCGAATCTATTTTCAAGTGTAAATATAATATTAAGATGATAAGTGACTAGATATAAGATTAAAATTAGATTCTTATTATAATTTATATCTCTATGAATAAATAAATAAATATATATATACATATATATATATATATATATATAAGTGTGTGTATATACATATATATACACACACCCACACAAATACACGCATGTAACGCAATGCGTGTATATGTATATATATCGACAACGGATATAATCCGTAAATAGAAATCGGTACGTAAGCAATGTAATTACAAAGAAGAAATATGGTTTTATTACAAAGACACTATGATCTAATTATTTAATGTATTGAAATAGTATCACCATTTCAATATAATACATTCGAAGTTTTTTTTTTCGATCTCTAAGCTGAACACGTTAACATTTCGGCATGTAACAAATTCATTACTACTATGCATTTTTAATTACTTTGCACATGCAATGTGTATATTGTAAAATTTCGTTATGGATCATTGGAGTAGTGGTAAGATCTATCGATTACTTGTTTTATTTTGTAATTATCGCATCGAAAATACGTTCGTGATTTTAATAATTCATTTTGCAGCCGTGCCAAACGAGTAAATATAAAACGACTGTAAAATATTTATACTTTGTCGTAGTTCTTATTAAAAATGATCAGAGTTATAAGACTTTACTACTACTCCGTAGTGTCGAGTCGTAACGAGCGATTTTTCGTCTGACACCCGAAGAACATCAGCTCGAGTGATTGTATAAAAATAAATGCACAATGTATCTTCAATAAAGTACCAGTAATACACGCCTCAAAATATTTGTAAAATACAAGTAAAGACTTTTTGGGCTATCATTTGAAGACTTAATTTTTCAGATAAGTTTTTTCACAATCCTTTTCTTTCGCTCAATAAGCTATCTGCTGATAGAAATTTTTTAATGTTGCAATTAATCACAGATGCAAGTGATTGAGCGGATCAAGGATCGTGTTATTAGACATACAGCGTTTACTTCGTAGGTAGTAGTTTACATTATGAGAAATAAAGAAGCCTATTATTTCAAATATAATGATGTGTAATCTGTGTGTTGAAGTGTAAAGGATAAAAACGATTTATTAGGGAATCTATCGTGTTTGAGATAAGTTTATGCTCTTACAGAGAGTGATTTTTAAATAAAATATTTTAAGAATTGTAAACAATATAACTTAATTTCTGTTAAATTAAATTAATCTAAATATTGCATACTACGCGAGTGAATAAATTTGTACAAGAATGAATGAAATTACATTTTAATGATTCTTAAATATATCTTATAAATCTCAAACAAGACGGATTTGCCAACATATCCTAATAGAAATGATTATATTATATTCTTTATAAACTCATGTTATCAAAAATAAATCTGTTTTTATTTCTCGTGGCGTTTTCAATCACGTTCACGTGTGTATATATTATGTATTATGTTATTGTGGGATAGGGGAGGGGAGGGGGGGAGAGGGGAGAGAAAAAGTTATTAATGTCGCACTAAAAGGAAAATACAAAGTTGGTAAAATGTTTTGTTTCAACCAGATCAATATTCTAAGATGGACTGAATTATTAATATTTTTTAATTGCTCTTTCAATTCAATTGATACATATATTTATGCATGTATATATGTTCATATATGTACCTACATTAATATACATGCATATATATCTTTCACTAGAAAGAGTTACACTACAAAATTGTCTGTACCTATAAATAGTATATAATACTGTGAGATGGGGAAAATATAGTTACATTTTCTATAAAACCTTTCTGATACAATCGTAAGTTGGGATATGTGTGATGCTTCATTGAAGTAATTCAAATCTAAGTGACATAAAGTGATACTGCATAAATTAGCATTGCTGCGTTCTTATATCAATAACAATTTGATATTTTCATCACTAACACAATTATCTTTTTATTTCTACAGTGTGCACCACATACACGATTGTAACTGAGAGATAATATAAATATATGAATATTTACGTAACAAATTATATGTATGTACAATGAATGTTTTTGGTTTTATTATTTAAAAGTTTCCCATTACAATAAACTATTATCTGTAAAATAATAACATTTAATCTTCTTTTAGTCTGTTTTCATAACTAAGAAATTTTCAAATAAATATGTACGAAAAATTTGTATTTAGAATATCTTCCATGTAAACTGTATTTTAAGAAGATTGTTAAAAAATATCGTTTACATACGTCATATATCTTAGATTTTCTTGATTAATTAAATCGTATGGCATTAATTACTAACAAAAATTTTGTACGCAGTTTACAAACACATAAGAAGAAGTACAATCATTTGTTATTATCAAAGATTTATTACCTAAAATAATCTCAAAATACAATAAATTATGTTACATTTATTGACGTATGGCCATTTATATATACAATATAATAATATTTGTAATATTTAAAAAGGAACACAGTCTTCGTGATTATTATTTCGATTGATTCAGTTTTATTTCCGCCAATACTGTGCAAATTTGTGTAGTTGTTCTACTAATGCTGCCATTACAGCTGTTACCGATAAATCCAAAAGATTGTGTACATAATGTACTGCTTCTTCGTCGCTCAAATCCAATCGCAGTTTATCTTGAACTTTTTTTACAGCTTTATCCGGCTCTAGTGCTATATCTGGTACACTAGCATCCACCATTAATGAAAATAGATTTAGCATTAAATTTGCATGCCTGCGTAAATGCAGAAATGCGGTGTAACACTGTTTTCGAAATTCATGATAATGTTCCGATCCTACGCCTCCCATAGCTTCAACCATTTCTTTGCTCAACTTCATTGGGGGCGGCAGTGGCTTTGGATCTCTGCCTAGAATATAACCGAAGTCTATGTGGAAGAGTTTGCCTGTAATGTAAATATTATTGATTTTAATTAAGCTCTTTTTATCTTTTTCACGTCGATAGTGTTATATTTATTTCACAGTTTAAATAATTTGAAAGTTTGCAATGAAACGAACCTGATGTTGTCAGGAGCAAATTGTCTAAATGTCGATCACCAACGCCGAGAACATATGTAATAATGCAGTAGCCAGCTGAAAATTCATGTTTTATGTAATTATATTAATACCAATTGTTTGCTCTGATATATTCTTACCGCAGCTTCGAACATAGGTGTCCATAACTTCAGGTACAACGCCATAAGGACCATTCTCAGATGGGTGATGTTTTCGAAAAAAACTTAATATGGAACCCTCGCTAGCCAGAACTTCTGCAACTGTTGTAGATTCGATGAATTGTAAGAAGCCATGTCTAGTACTTGTTGCAAGTACCCTAGAAATAAATTAATTTACATTTTAAATCAAATAATACATTACATAGATCGTTCGAGAAACATTTACCTGTAAGGCGTGAGTTTTAAATCTAAGTTTTCTCTTCTTAATAACTTATCCATAAGCGCTATCGTTTGTAAAATTAATTGATCTTGTCTTAGGTCATCACCATGCTTAAAAATTGCAATGTATTCACTGTTGTCTGTCATCATAAATGTTAATTTGGATGGCATAAGAGCCGATTTAAAGAGACTTGCCCTAAAAGCAATAATTGTTTCACAAATATTAAACGTACGAAGCATAAATATTCTTTAATTGTATACAATAAAAATCATTTATACTTTTCTGGAATAATTCCTTTAATGCAAATTTCTGGGTCTAAAGGGAAAGGTATTGGTTCGAAGTTAGAAAAATTAATTTTGAATGCCGGATCCGGATCTGCCAATAATGCTCTGAGCCTGTCAGTCTTTTTTTTACGATTTCCACTTTCTCTTGCGACTACTTTCACAAGTGCTACTAATTGGTCAATGAATATCTTTTGACGTAAAAGAAATGCTCTTCTTTTCTGCCAAATAGCATTTCCTTGTGCTAACATTGTTGAAAACATTGCCATCACAGTAATATACATTTCTTTTACGCGTGTGTCTTGTTTTGCACTTATGGCTGGGTCATTTTGATCCTCGCATTCGATGGAAAGATACCAATAGAAGTAGTTAGCTAACGTGGTATTTTGACACGCACGAGTGATCAGAAAAGATGCTAAATCCATAAGAGTATCTTGATTCGTCGAGAATTGCCCACTTTCAGGTTCACTAGACTGCAAATTATGTCTACTGTAGTAAGTCAAAAATTCAATTTTTTCGATTATAAAATTACTTACGTTTGTTACAGATGTGGACGAAGAATCATTGATCTGTATATCTCTATCTAATTTCTCAACTTTCTCTGATTCTTTACCCTTCATTAATATATGATGCGCTCCTTTAATACTCTCAAAATCTTCATATTTTAAAGCTTGCACTAACTGTAATAAGTATAACATTAAGTCGTCATCAGGTGCTTGATTAAGTCGAGTTATAGCGTATCTTCTGACAGCTGGATGTGTGAACGCTGGACCAAGTAATTCCAATGCATCTTCGGGGTCAGGCGGTGCCCATAATGCTAACATTTCTAACGCTTGTCGCTCTTCTCCAGCAACTTTCCAGTTCACGCATTTTACAAACTTTGTTAAAGCTTTCTTTTGACTTGACAAATAAAACCTGTATTTCCAAATTAAGTCCTGCTCCTCGGTAGAAAGTGCTGTCGTCGGCGGGTAACTTAATATTATATTCAAAGCATCGCGTACACTTGAAGTTGGTTTTAATTCTCGCGTATGATCTCCACTGCGTAAACTTCGAGCTAATTTGTGATGCTTTGCCTCTACAAGATTTTCCTAATAATCAAAATATATACATATCCATGAAATAAATAAAACGATATATTTGTTAAATAATCAAGTGTCGTGAATGCATTTTGTTACAGTTATGTTTATAATAGATATTACTATCAAGTAATGCAGAATCAATTTATTATTATTTTGTGAATTCTATGAAAAAAATATAATGATTTATCGTACTTGTAAAATTTCATAATCAGGAAGAGTTACAACATCCGGTTGTGATCTGTGTTGAACAACTTCATCTCCATCCTTTTCATAATATACTATGGAGTACTACGGTAAAAAAAATGTGCATTAATACAATAAAAATACAGGACAGAGTAAATGAAAATGCACGCGATACGGCATATATAATTTTATGAAAATTTCATCAACTAGAAAAACGATGTGGAATTCTTAATACCGGTATTCCATCCATAGTAACTTCTGGAAACTCGATCATTAAATATAAATATTCGGATGCCCTTTTCTCTCTTTCATTAATTAATTCGATTTCTCTGAATGTTAATCTATCCAACCAATCAACTTTATTCATCTGACCATTTCTGTGTTTTTTGACAAGCTTTGCTAATCTTTGCATCTGTTCTTTTCCATGATCTCTAGTCTTTCCCGGAGTACTAGTAAGTACGCTACCATCTGCTTCCACTCCGGGCCATACCCTAAGATCTAACATTCCTTGACGAAGGACTCCATGTTTACCAAATAAAGATATTGTTGTACCACCGACTGTTAATCGCCTACCAGGTCCAGCACAATCATACAAGCTTATGCACAATTGAGCATCTCGTGGTAAATCGGAATACGAAATAGGAAGAATCACCCATTGATTCCAACTAAAAGAATTAAATAAAATACAATATTAATTCGTATTTGGCATTTTTGTTGAGAAAAGTCAAATGACGCTACTTTTGGTCAGAGAATTAATAATTTATCAATATTTAGTTTTTAGTTTTTCTTAACTAGTGGAAAAATACAATATGTGTATCTCTAAGTATACTTGGATTAGAGTTATATGCATTCATTAGAATATGTTAACTAGATAATATTATTCTTCAAATATACAATGCTTGTACGTTATATTAATATATAATTTAAAATTATACATACTTCCAACGTGATATAAAATGTTTGTAAGCTGTGTGAACAGGTAAAGCAAGCGGTCTTCCACCAGCCCACACTTGTAAAGAAGCTACCAAGTCTCCACGTCCTCCATTGACTCCATATAGACCAGAGTATTTTAACATAGGGTCAATAAGTAGCTTGTCATATTCAGGCCGTTGTCTTTTGCCTTCTAAAGTTCCTCTAGAATAAACGCAATATATTATATTAAGATAATTTACAATGGAAAGTATTTATGCATTAATTTATTTGACAGAACTTGTATAGCGACATATTTTTCAATTAAATACTGTCTGTTCTTTATCCGAATTAGATATTATAATCGGATTATTTCATATTTAATGGTTCTCATTCATCAACTTGTTTTCATTGGCAAGATACGTCATAGAAAATTTATTATGATAACCTGATACCAGCTGATACTAACGTTTATTGTATTTAACTCACTTACAATTAAATCTTACATTTTAATTTGTATTCTTGTATCTAAAGAAGAACTGTACACATAGAAAAATTTGTCATGAATATCTTCCATGATTATTTTACGAAGTTATAAACTTAATACATTTCCTCTATTCTGTATTGTACTGCCGTCATTCTACACGGTCTACCACATTTACCGTGTTGGATTACACAGTTCCGAGTTCACAATAGTTTATAAGTACATATGTATGTCACTTAATTCCTGCCGTTTGAGGGGAAAACGGCACACGATACATGCCACGGATGAGGTACAGGATAGACTTTGCACCTTATGGGAGTGATTATCATTAGAGCAGTGTGGCTAGATCGGGCATAATTGAGTTTACAAGAGCAAGAAGGAAAGGATCACACTAGGTTCTTTATCGGCAGTGATGCCAAAAAAGCACCGTCGGGTGCACACTCAACATGCTAGATACGCGTACGGGAGCTCGTGGAGTTTCGGAAAGACGACAAAGGCAAACTGACGCATGCCCTCTTTCTCGATTCTCCGAAGCTGCCCGAAGTAATTTCGGACCGCTTCGTGGGAGTCGAGAGAGAAAGGCTCACATTTGCCTTCTCGCTCTTAACAACTGAAATCCGACCTCCAGTCAACGGCATACGATTTGGATTCTCGAGCCGAGATTCTCGACTGCCCAGGCATTTTTACTTTCCGACCTATGTAGGCGCACATAAGCAAAGTACCCATAATGAAAAAAAATTTTGTAAAATTTATTTTACGAAAATACACGTTTTAAGACCTGATCATATTTTAATTATTGAAAAAAAAGAAATTTTTTTTATTCCCATGTATGAAAATCATTATTAATTAATTTCTGCAATTATTAATTCTACTGTTTTGTTTATGTTATAAAAGTAAGAACTTTTCTTATTGAAAAATACCACAGCGTGCACAATACTGGTAAAGAGTGGAATCTCATTTTAATTTATTAATTTTCAATCTTAAAGTATTTTGATTTTCAAAAATCGTATTAATAATATACATATGTGTGCTCATACATGGGAATAAAAAAAAATTTCTTTTTTTTCAATAATTAAAATATGATCAGGAGGTCTTAAAACGTGTATTTCCGTAAAATAAATTTTACAAAATTTTTTTTTCATTATGGGTACTTTGCTTATGTGCGCCTACATAGGTCGGAAAGTAAAAATGCCTGGGCAGTCGAGAATCTCGGCTCGAGAATCCAAATCGTATGCCGTTGACTGGAGGTCGGATTTCAGTTGTTAAGAGCGAGAAGGCAAATGTGAGCCTTTCTCTCTCGACTCCCACGAAGCGGTCCGAAATTACTTCGGGCAGCTTCGGAGAATCGAGAAAGAGGGCATGCGTCAGTTTGCCTTTGTCGTCTTTCCGAAACTCCACGAGCTCACGTACGCGTATCTAGCATGTTGAGTGTGCACCCGACGGTGCTTTTTTGGCATCACTGGTTGTCACTATTTTCGATTTCGATGCACTCAATTATGCTCGATCTGGCCACACTGGTTACAGGTACTGAAACACCGACTCACCGACTTGACAGTTTTAATAGAAACAACCTAATATAATCTGTAAAGAATAATTTTTTTACTCTTGTATCGGTATGAATGTTAAGTATTGCAGAATTTCAATTTAAAGAAAACAGACATAACTATAGGGAAATTATATATCTTTGTTGGTATTGAGGGGAAAGTCACTAGCGTTCACTAATCCTTTTCCTTCACGACGCGTAATTCGGTCTTGCATGAAAGTGCTTGGTAACTGCGCAGATGGCAGAATTATTATACCGCCGAATGACTATAATCTTTGGAAACATATAACCTATTTGCAACAAATCGCAGGAATCAATATAAAATAACAATGTTGCGTTAATAATTTTTTACGCGTACGAAATGATGATCGTAGTTTACCTGTACATAATCCAAATAACTAATTTATCATTATTATTCATATATAATTGTACGCATCATTTCAACATGTTGAAGAAATACAGTAAAAGACATCCATAAAAACCGAAAAACTTCATCACTTATACAATTCACGTATAAAAATTTAATACGTATCAGTTTACTCTTTGAGTTGGTAACCTATTTAGAACATTTTATTTTGTGGTGACATCGTCAGAGTACATATTGTTTTCTAGCAATTCATGCATATGTAAATTACATATTACGAAAAATGAATGTTCTTCTATCAAACGCCTTTGCGCGCAAGACCACTGGTCTGCGAATGGAAAGGGGTTGCCGATGCTAGTGACTTTCCCCTTAGACGGCAAAAATTAATAATTACCGGTTTACTTCACCATCAGTCGCCACGCATATTTCTAATCAATTGTTGCAAGATCTCGTCTTTCGTTTTCTTCTGGAAAAGTCAGGCGTGTATTTAAGTGTCATTTTCTGTTAGAATATTTTACTGTTGGAAGAATCGAAGAAAAATGTATCGTCCAGTGAGTGGCCCGATTGTAGTTTTAAGTAAGTTAAAACAACGACGATTTTGATTTTCATTTGTTTAGAAACTTAACCGAAAATTATATTTCTCATGATGCCGTGTGCTCTTGTAATTGCAGGTCAGAATACAAAGCGGGAAACCGGTCGAAAGGTTCAGAGAGAAAATATTGAAGCCGGCAAGGTGAGTCCGACAAACAATTCGTACATTTTACCTTTTACGGTCTCCTGCCGTCGGCACGCCCACGTGTATTTTTCTTCAAGAAATACACTGTTAATATTATATATATATTGTTAATAATTATTTGTTACGGTCAGTTACGGTCAGACATTATGTATTATTTTTATTTTAAAAGTTAAATCATAGACTCTTCACAATTATATTGTTTTGTAAAGGCAATTGCAGATGTCATTAGAACATGTCTTGGACCACAAGCAATGTTAAAAATGTTGATGGACCCAATGGGAGGCATAGTTTTGACTAATGATGGAAATGCTATATTACGTGAAATAACAGTACAGCATCCAGCTGGAAAATCAATGATAGAAGTTGCTAGAACTCAGGATGAAGAAGTTGGAGACGGTACTACGTCGGTTATTGTATTGGCAGGTGAAATTTTAGCTACCGCAGAACCTTTTCTGGAGCAAAATATGCATCCGACAATTATAATAAGAGCATTTCGTCAAGCTTTGGAAGATATGGTAACCATCCTTAATGAGCAAGTGAGCATAGACTTGGATCCTAATGACAAAACGAGGGTGATTCAAGTGATAAATTCTTGCGTAGGAACTAAATTTATCGGGCGTTGGTCAGAATTAGCATGTCAGATTGCTTTAGATGCAGTTCACATTGTTATGCTCGAAGAAAATGGAAGAAGGGAAATAGATATAAAGCGTTATGCAAAGGTAGAAAAAATTCCTGGTGGCAGTATCGAACAAAGTACTGTTCTTAAAGGGGTAATGATTAATAAAGATGTAACGCATCCAAAAATGAGACGATACATTAAAAATCCAAGAATAGTTTTACTGGATTGTCCTTTAGAATATAAAAAGGGAGAGTCGCAAACTAATATAGAAATAATGAAAGATACTGATTTCACCAGGATTTTGGAACTGGAGGAGGAACATGTTAAAAAAATATGCGAAGATATTGTAGCTGTAAAACCTGATGTGGTGATTACTGAGAAAGGGGTATCAGATTTAGCTCAACATTATCTTGTAAAAGCAGGTATTTCTGCTATTCGTAGATTGAGAAAAAGCGACATTAACAGAATTGCGAGAGCTTGCGGCGCAACTGTTGTCAACCGTACAGAAGAATTGCAAAATGAAGATGTTGGTACTAAAGCTGGTCTTTTTGAAATTAAAAAAATTGGAGATGATTACTTTTGTTTTATTACCGAATGTAAAGAACCTAAAGCATGTACTATAATATTGAGAGGTGCTAGTAAAGATATATTGAACGAAACTGAAAGAAATTTACAAGATGCCCTTCATGTTGCAAGAAACTTTCTCATTGAACCCAAATTAGTACCAGGTACTTAATATTTTGTATTTACTAATATATACAATGAATATCAGAACATTGTATTAAAGCTACAATTGTATTATTTATTAAAGGTGGAGGAGCAGTGGAAATGGCAGTATCAAGACTTCTGACAGAAAATGCAGGAAGATACGCGGGTGTGGAACAATGGCCTTACAAAGCTGTAGCACAGGCGCTAGAAATAATTCCACGAACTCTTGCACAGAACTGTGGAGCAAACATGATTAGAACATTAACTGCGCTACGTACAAAACATGCCACTGAAGGAATGACATGGGGTATTGACGGAGAAACTGGTCAATTGGTAGATATGGAAAAACGTGGTATTTGGGAGCCTCTGTCTGTTAAGTTACAGACATATAAAACGGCTATTGAAACCGCTATTTTATTGTTACGAATCGATGACATTGTATCAGGAAGCAAGAAAAAGAAGGATAATGAGCCTACAGCACCTGCACAAGTTACAGAAGAATCTATGAAGGATTAAAACATTAAAAACACATCATTTTGAATACGCTCGTAATACTTTTATTTGTGTTAACATTTAATTAATTCATGTTCACGAGAATTTTATTGGAACACAATTCATGTTCATGAATAGTATTATTTGCTTGTCTGTATGCATTTTCATATAATAAAAATACTTTAATAAGCTATTAAACGATAATGCACAAATTATTTTCAACAGGTTGCTTTCGTTTTATCGTAACGAGTTTAATGCAAAATTGTTACGATTAGTGCATAGTAATCAATTAACTGAACATTATACAAATTTATACGAAATTTTAATAAAAGTAAAAATATGTTTCACAAAACCGGTACACGTGTGTAAAAATTGGTAATGTGGTTCGTAGGTCTGGGTTAGCGTGAAATGATACGATACTGTTTAAATGTTATGTTTTGAACTTTCGAATGAATTCTATTTGCATTATATCATTTCGTGATTCGGGTTAATTAATTATCGAACATAAGTTTCAGTTTTATAAAAATGAATTGTATTTCGTAAAAAATTGTTTTAGAACGAGAGCGTCGGCATATTGAATTTAATATATTTCTATAATAATTTTAAAAATTTAATAACAAATAACTGAATAAAATTTTCTAGCAATAAGGTATAGTATTCACTAAATGGTTTACGTAGCGCATCATTAGTTATAATGACCAACGATGCATGGACCGAACGGTTTGAAAGATTAGAGAATGTTCTATGAGATCGCAATGCACTTCGAGGAAGGTGGCGTTTCACGCGACACAGGTATATCGATTGTGTGTGTGGGGTGGCCGGCATGAGTGAAGGCCGACGAATGGGACACAATTTTCGTAACGGCTCTTTGCGAAACTGAAAACTGTCCGGATAGACTGAACGATGAGAATGAACGTGAGATGATGCCAGGCACATCTCGCCAAGTGGGGACTTCTAACGGTGGTAAAAACCGATTTCTTTTCAATTGTTTTTAATCTTTTTTGTGCGATATCGTGTCGATATTTCCGTCAAGGCTGGCAGATGTTTCATATTTTTCTGTGACTTGACGCGAACGAGGGATGCGAATTGTATCGTCAACATTTTTTCATACACTATTGTATTAACGAGAATGCATCCACGTGGTTGCATGTATATAGAAGTAATTTTCATATCTGTTTACTATGAGATTGACAGGTGTCTACGTTCTGTTGGTTCGAGGATCAGTTGTTAATAAATAATTTATTACTCGTGTTATTAGAAATTCATATAAAAATTTTCCAGGAAATATTAACCATTTTATTTTGCTTTCTTTTTGTGCGCGTATCGAAGAAATATTTGTAGATTCAATTTCTCGTCAGTGATTCGAAATAAACAACTTGCGTAGAAATAAAACATAATTGGTGTTATTTCTACAAAAATCAATTCAATTTCATTTATTTGTTAGATGTTATTGGTGTATAGAAATTATTTCGTATTAACTATAAATTTTATTTACATAATTATTACATTTCCTATCATTAAGTAAATGAATAGAATTTTTTACGTGGTAGAACAATTTAAGCAAAATACAATTTTGCTTCTGCAATTAGGCCCTGAGTGGGACACATTGATGGAGGTTCATCATGAACCGATTGAGAAACATTTTAAATTATTGGAAGAAATTGGCAAGTAAGTATTTATAATTTATGTGTTCTATCATTAATAAACGTATATTACATATGTTTTAAGTTATTTTTGTATTTATGAATTACAGAGGACAATTTGCTATAGTACGAAAATGTATGGAAATAAAGACTGGAGACTTATATGCTGCCAAAATTATGAGAAAAAGAAGAGTTGCCAGAGGTGTAGCAGCAGCAGACATTGGTAGATATCTTTGTTCGTGTGTTTGTAATTTTTTTTGTAAATAATTGATTATTTGTTTCAGCTCGTGAAGCAGGCTTATTAGCTCGTTTAAGGCATCCAAATATTGTTTCGTTACATAAAGTTGTAGACACAGGCACAACTGTTGTGTTACTTTTAGAATTAATTTCTGGAGGAGAACTCTTTCACTGGGTACCTTCTGGTGAATTAGAAGCTGCTCATGTGGTTTGTAATATAAAGTAGTCCATACAAGGACACATTTAGCAATTTAGATAAAAAGTTTGGTGGTAATCATACTTTTTTTTATAGGTTCGTCAAGTTTTAATGGCACTTAGTCATTTACATTCTCATCAAGTTGCTCATTTAGATATCAAACCTGAAAATATTCTTTTATCGACTCCTCCGCCAATGCCAAGTATAAAGTTAATAGGTAATACACAAACATTGGTAATTTTCCACTGAAGTTCTTACATGGATGGCGTATAAAGAATGTGTATGTAATTTTTTTCTTATAAAGATTTAGGTCTTTCACACCGACTAGTACCTGGGTCAGAACACAGAGCATTATTCGGAACACCTGAGTTTGTTGCTCCTGAAATTGTAAATTACGAACCACTCAGTTTAGGGACTGATCTTTGGGCAGTTGGTGTTTTAACATACATTCTTTTAAGTGGTGCATCACCATTCTTAGGTGAAGATAAGCAAGAAACTTATGCGAACGTTGCTGCTTGTCAATATCAATTTGATAACGAGTATTTCAGTACTGTGTCAGAAATTGCCAAAGATTTCATACGATCCTTGTTGATCAAGAATCCAAAGTAAGTAAAAGAAATTTATAATTTATGTTAATACTCGGACGGCAACGCCCGATTCCGTTCGAATTCACTTTAGACGCGAAAAATAATAAAACAAGTAGTTGCAACAAGCCGAAAATAAAAACTGTGTTTCTTACTTACTGAAAATAATAATTATATGTATTTACTAATCATATATATGTATATATAAACACAGACGTTAGATACGCGTTATGTCAAATCGGAGTAAATACTATTTATCTGCATTTATTTTATTTTTATATTATGAATTGTGATAATAAAAAGAAGTGAAAAAGCATGTACGAGTGTACACAGATTGTAGTCCTTATGGTCCGCCGTCCGACTATTAAGTGTTTTAGTTTTGAGACTTACAAGTATAGCTTAAAGTGGAATGAAATAATGACAATAAATTTAACTTTCAGAGAAAGAGGAACTTCAGAATCGTGCCTTAAACATCCTTGGATCCTCACGGTCTGTTCCTGAATGCAATAATTATAATTTCCTTAATACTTGCCCGAGCTAATTTTAACTTTCGTTTTTAATCGTTCATATTATTTTTTTGATTTCTTATGAAATGTTTATTTATGTACATCGTGTGACTGGTTTTAGTATCATCTGTACAGTTACATCATACATACAAATTATTTTTTACAGAATATACATTATTAAGTTAAACAATACATATTTTTTTATTGAACATTTGTACCTTGATTATATTCTCGAAAATATAATAATTCAATTTTTTTTACCTAATGGCGCATTGAAATATGTTTTGCGATTTAAAAATTTTTCTTTAAAAATGCCGTTAATATTTTCACTGATGTATGAGGATAAAAGTGTAAAGTCGATTGTGCATTGTCGTATAATTAATAATAGGGCATAATGCATATGGAATAATACGATATTGAATAGCTGTATTTTTTTGTCATTCTGTAGGAGTTGGAAGCCTCTCAAGGTCTTGGTGGAGCTATGATTAGTGCTGTTAAAAGAGGCTGTGTTGAGGCTGTGTCTCAGTTATTACTACAAGGAGCACCATTGAACGTAAAAGATTCTGTGAGATTATGTTGCTGTGTACATCTTTCAAATGCAATATAATATAAGCAGGATATAAACGGTCATGTTTTTTTTATACAGAAAGAAGATACGCTTTTGCACTTAGCATGCGAAGCAGGAGACGAGGGAATGGTAACTTTTTTGATAGAGAATGGAATAGATCTGGATACACCTAATAAGAATGGCTTAACGCCATTACATGTGGCTGCTAGGCATGGTTTCATTAATCTTGTTAGACATTTGTGCCTTGCTGGTTGTGATGTTGACAAAGCAAATCGTGGAATTAGAGCGGATGTGACAGCAATTAAGTACGGATATCCGGATATTGCATCGTTATTGGATAAGCTACGAAATGTACGTTGTTAGATAATGTGTTTGACAGTATCTGTATTCAACTAATATTGACTTAAATTCTAGCCCATACAACGCGAAAATTACATTAAACAATTGCAACCAACGCATAGACCGATAGATCGTCTACATATAAGACTTTTAGGACATTGCACATCAGGAAAATCATCTTTAATAAATTCTTTAAAATCTGGTATTTTTAGTTTTGGATTTTTTAGAAGGTCAAGAAGTCAAAATTATACAGCAAAGGTAACTGTTTGTGATATGCGATATGCAGTGTTGAATATACAGCATACTCATTGGAATACCGGGAAAATTAAATATTTTATTAAGAATAATATATGTATTTAGAGGGAGCCAAGTATTGAATTAGATGTAACTAGCAAGCATGGTTCACTTAGTTTTGAATATAGTGATAGCGAATATGAAGGTACACAAGGAGTAGAATGGAGTCGGGGTAATGTAGGTGAGGAAAATAATTCTCTATGTTTTTTTTATAATAATTAGTATTAAAAATACACATGTTTACAATTCTAATTATTAAGGCGGAGAATGTGTTTTCTGGGAATTATGTGGACGCGAGGAATTTTTAGCATCTTATCATTACGCACTTACTTTTCAACAACCTGCGGTACACCTTATAACAGTCAGTCTTCGAGAACCTCTCACTGTACAGCTTCAGCAAGTCAAATTTTGGCTACGATTTATTTCAGATCGTATCGCATCAATTAATTTTGGTAAGTTTCATTAATCATAACTCTATTATAGTATATGTATGTTTGTTACTAACTTTTGAAATACCTTTTTATAACATAGGTTTTGGTGGCAAATACAGTGATGTAAAAGTAATCTTAGTTGGGACTTATGCACCAGAACCTCTTGCTCCAAATTCGAATATTGGTAGTCTTCTTGCACCACTTTTACCTTTTTTAAAAGAGTTCACACCAATTTTGGGAGATGAACCTCAATTGGTCGCAGTGGATGCAACTAATCCTTCTAGTCCTGGTCTGAAACTTCTAAGATCATATTTGAATAATGCAAGGATGGACTTTCTAGAGGTGAAGTGATTATATGATTTATGAAAATTATCGTATTTTATTACGCCTCCTACAAAATAATTTCTTTTTTACTATCAAAGATGATAAAATGCACATTACGAAGAATATTATTGCGGCTCTCTTAGTTTTAACAAAGTTTTTTAAACAATTCGTAATCACTTCTACTATTTTTTCAGTCATAATATTTACATTTTAAAGTTTTATACTAAATTTTCGGAACAAACCAAACAAACTAAACTATTGCATGTCGGCATATACACAGTATCAGATAAAAAAAGTCAAGATCATTTTATACTTGATCTGAATTGAGATATTAGGATATGAGTCACGTCAAAATATATTAACGTATCGAGATCGCACAAGCATCACAGTTAATATTACCAGTACGATTATGACATTAAAAATAGTATTAGTACAATAGAATGTTGGACATCAACTAAATTAAAAAAATGAATTGTTAATTATTACTAATAATAATGATAACATACACTAATTAATGATTTCAACTGATTTATTGATACGATTTATATACAAAATTCTCAGTTCAGATCAATAACACGTATGGCCGCGAAATCCTCAAATCTTTGATCATTTCATGCTTGATTGCACGAGCGACTCGTTCAGTCTAGAAAATCTGATACGATACACTATTAAAATATTTAATCTAAGAATATACTTATTAAAAGGTTCAGGTTCAGCTGAATATCTTCAGTGTACATAATTATATTTCCACATTTTTTTACAGGAATAACGCCAGTGTTTGTACAGCATGCAATAAATGTGTGCATTAACATTTTCAAAACGGTTCTCATTAGAATCGGGTCATTTCATTTTGCATAACGCCAATTATATTTGTACGATTCACATCTCTTTAATTTCAACTCCCGCAATGTTAACACTACGTTGAACGAAGCATTAATTCCTAAATACAATGCGATTATTTTTGTTGACATTATGATTCAGTAACCCATGGTCACTCATGATGCATGGTTGATTTGATATATGTATAAATAATTGAGCTCACCGGAAGTAATGATTTGTATTATTCATAATTTCCAATTAAAGTAATTGTTTGCGACATTTAATCAAGCACACTCCCAATGGAAAATATTGTTAAAAATGATATTTCTTGTATCTGCTGTCACACTGTCACATGATCAATTTACTAACAACATATATTTTAGTTGCTGATTATTTGGTCATTAACATTTATTAACATCAGCCTTACTGCATGCAATGCATGATGTAGGAAGGACCGGAAGTTGCAGAAAGTATTCTCCGACGTGACGCGCCGCGGGCTGCGGCCACGTACGTGCCCTTGACGAATCTTGATAAACAGGTCGAACTATTTCTCAATTCCTTTGATAAGTGATGTGTATATTGAAGCTGTAATATATTTAACAATTACTCTAACGCTTTATCCCATTAATACATACATGCACTACTGTCCAATGCAATAAGAAATACTACTCTTGTATATATTTTCTGTATCAGTGTATTATTTATTACTTTTCTGCTTGTATTTTATCATTAAGGATTTAACAATCTTCTTATAGAGCGCACTAGTGTGGACCGGTCTTGCCGAATCTTGGAGAACGTATGTGCAAACATTAGAGGTACCTCCAGTAATGCTTACGCAGGAGGAATTTTTGAGGGAAGTGAGAAAAATTAATCCATTAGCCTGTTTAGAACATTGTAGACATCTCGGATTACAATTACAGGTTTGTGCCTTTACTGCACGGTATATGGCTGATATACTTTACTCTTGATATATTAAGCAAGTGTTAATTTTCAGAATTTAGGAGAGTGCATGTTACTTCCTGGGAACTTGGTAGTTCTGAGTCTAGAGTGGTTTTGGCAGGACGTAGTAAATTGGCAGTTAAGTCCGGAACAAAGAGGTCGTCTTGGTGGACGTACCACAGGAGTTTACGCTTTGGAAGATTTTCAGGCTCGTTGTCCTTGTCCTGCAGGTCAAGCTTTGCAAGCTCTGCAAGCTGTAAACTTATGTGTTCTAGTAGGTTTTTTTCGGTATAATTTATAGTATTTTATGTTTTCAATTAATTTTTGTACCGTAACCAAATTATTTAATTTCGTGTCAGTGCGAAGTAGACGATGACGAGGTGGAGTACGAAATACCTTGCTTGAACCTTGTTGAACGTTTACCGGGATTATGGGAACCATGGAAATCGTGTTCCAATATCCTGCCTCATACGGGTCTTCGTCTTGCTCCAGCAGAGGCACCTTTGTACCATCTGATTGCAGTATTTCCACATTTGCAAGTATGTAGTAATAACAAACTGACAACAACATGATATTATTCTTTCGAATATTACCAATGACAATATGGTACTACGTAGGCACAATTGAGAAAAATCACACAAACGTGGGATCCATCGAATTCAGACTTATATCAATGGTGGCGAGGATCAAAATTATGCATTGGACCGTGCGAAAGTATAATAACGTTCGAAGAAGATGACCAAAGTTGTATAGAGATAAGAGTACGCGGACCGCGAGGTACCAGTGCACAATGTTTCGCACTTCTGAGCATTATTCTCGATGCTGTTGAAACAACTATCGAATTAGTTGCTCCTGGGATGTTGCTCGAAAGGCATTGGTTAAGTCCTAATCAACTTCGCGAATATGACGACGTTAGTTATTTAATCACGTATAAATGGAAAATTTAAATGTGAAAGTAACGTGGTTAAAATGTGTTTATTTGTCTTCCGTAAAATGTTATGTATAGGTTGTACATTCTTGGGAGCCAGCGCCGATTATATCAGCTTTAATAGATAAAAGTCTCGACGAAGCGAGTCTTAAAAATCCGTTGAACGGCCAAGAAGAAACTGTATGGGATATAGTGGGTTGTGGATTACCTTTAATGGAAAATTGTCTTCCTGGACCAAAACAACCGGTAAAGCACATTAGACCTGCTGTACAAAGAAGACTAGCACAGATGCTTGATCCTCCTGATCGTCATGGGAGAGATTGGTGTTTACTTGCTGTGAGACTCGGACTGGGAGATCGGGTCGCACAGCTAGACAGTACAGTGGACAGTCCAACGTTGAGGTAAACTATTTTATAATTATTGTGAGTTAATAATCGTTTGATAATTTAGTTTTGTATTAGATGAATAATTTTTCGACAGATTACTTAATACCGCGGGCGCTGATTGTGCCGTGGGTTCTCTAATACAACAATTGCGAGCTCTTGATAGAGAGGATGCTGTACACTTGTTGCTCTCTTATACACCGACATATATATTATCAACGACTATTGACTCTGAAACGGGATCTAATCTTTCTAGATGACAATGCTGCGTTTATCAATGGTGCATTAATACTTTCTAAAAGGTGGATTTCCGAAGGAATCTTTTGTCCATGTCGTGGGTTTGATAGACTTTATTACATCACCGCTTCCGCCCAACGTAAATTTTACATTGCTCTTTAATCTAAGTACGTACATTGTAGTACATTGTCTGTGTACTTTTTTAGAAGTATGTCAAAATGCACATGCACCGATGTGTACTTTTATATCAAACTTATTAACAAGCACCTTAAGCGGCACAAAATTCATTTTTATATATATACATATACGTATATAAAAAAAAAAGAACCTGCATAATTTCCGTTAATTTGTGTATTTTCTCTTTACGAGCTCTTATAACATAAAATATCATAATTTAAGCACCCTTGTTAGCATAAAACAAATATTTATAATTCTGTGTTTTCGTTAGGTTTGAAAATATTTACTTAAGAGGATCTATATAAACAAAGTTTTAATTTTTAATATTTAGAGTTTCCTTTTCATTATGAAATATTTGTAAGCGTTTGTATTGTGATATTATATTGTATGATTAACTAGATTATCGTTCAAATTTCTTAAGTAAATTTGTATTAGACGAATAATTCTAAATGATGTGTATGCATATGCGTGGCCCACGAAATAATGCATTTACACACTATATGTATAACACGATACTATTGTATTTGATACTAATGTTGTTTTGAAAGCTTTTCTTGATATGCATATATACTATATCTTGCCAAAACTCAGTGTCAATATGCGCTGCTTTTTGACTTCTATGACATTTAGAAACTATTTACGTGAAAAGAAAGCGGAAACAATTCGCACAATTCTTTGCTTTTTTGGTACAACTATCTATGAACCTCCATTTGTAAATGGATATTTTTTACTAAATCAGCGTTTCTAAAGTATTTATTACGTGCCATAAACAATATTTGCTCATCATAACTGTTAAAAAGCATTACAATTTCTCTTTAAGTTCTATAAATCGGTCCTTCTGTAACTATCAATGAGCGTGACGCGCTTTGTTTATCAACAAATTGAAATTGAAACGAAGGATCGCTTCTTCAAATTGTTTCGTTATAAACGATGTATTTAATTTAGGATCATTCATGTTCTCTAGGCACAAGAGTGTTAAACGAACGATATCATAAGAACAAGTAAAATTTGTTGTTCACGGAAAACCTATTCTTTGAACATATCAGTATGTATTATTTTTATTTAGTTGATAACTATTAAATATAACGTGTTTAATAGATTTACATTTTTACTTTATACGAGACAATGTTTTATACACGTCTTGAAGATGTAAGAATATTTGTCTATGTTAAAGATGAACACGACAAAAGTAGTGTCTTCAATTAGAATATATCTTTAGAATAATTGTTTCTAATTCTGTTCCCACAATGTGTATCTACAGTACTTCTGTTAATTCTGTGTTCTACATGTTTCTTATAAAATGAAGATTTAATATAATATCATGTAATTATACAAACTTAAATTATAAAATTTACAAGTACTGAATCATCCACTGATATTTGTACTCTAAAGCTTGTGTTTTCACGCGCTGTGTTCATTTTATATTTACACGTCGATGTCTAAAATACAATAGTTTGTAATGCTGTATATTTTGGTGAGGAATTGTTTTCCTATTGGGTACGTTCAATCGTGAGAATGTTTGCTTCTACGAATTTTAAATTTCTCAGTATTGTTAATCAACGATACGACATATTATAAGTTTGTTTTAATGATCAGCTTTACAACAGACTTGATTCACATTATCGATACGTTAAATTTGTCCGATACGTTTTACTATTTGTTTTACAGCTTTTGCTCGACACTATACAAAAATAGTTAAACAACTATTGTTAAGGTGAAATTTAACGATACGAGAATATGTGCAACAAATATATTTTGCAGAATAAGAAATTGTAAAACTACATAAAATTGTTAATTGTCTTATACGAATGATTTTGTTATGGTCAATGACATTTACGTTTTTATATTTTTTTCATAATGAAGCGTCGATGTCAGCAGAGATTGGTTTTTCAAAAATTAAGCTGTAAATTTGCTTAAAAAACTTTGATTCTACGCAAACTATGAAGATATATGGTTCGGTAAAATGTATTACTAGAAAATCGTATTCTTGAAACCGCAATCAAAATCGACTCTAACTATATTGTTAGCGTTGTACGAATGTTCCTGAACGTCAAGAATGTTCTACAAATCATTGTAATATCGAGTTTCCCTGTAAATTTTTACAATGTATTATAGATTACATGAAAACGGATGCTTTCAAATTAACCAGTGTAAAGTGTAAAAATATTACGTGAAACTTTGTTGCATCCGTTAGTTATGTAAATTTTCATACAATCATTCGATTTATTTATAGTCACACTAAAAAATACAGTAACATTCTTTCATAGTACGAACAAATAGTGTCAATAAAGCCGTGGTGCTCTGTAAAAAAGATTTTCGTTCGTTGAAAAATTATTTACGTAGCGTAGAAAGTAAGTATGGCTTCAAATACTATAAGCACAGGCGAGGTTTACGAGTAGACTTTTCATCATATGGACTTTCGCGGCCGAATCTGACTGCCATATCGACCTGAAAATTCGGAGCTGATTTTAGCGGCCTCTTCTCACGGATGGCGGTCAGTTGAGAAACTATTCATTGAATTAGCATTGATGGGCAGACAGCTGCAGTGTTTGCGTAAGTAAGTCATGTGAGTTGACTATGGAAGGGATTAAAATTCATTTTTGATTTTTATTAATGGTGGTTGGGAATCGGTTAGGGTGGGTCTCCATTCGCAGCAACCTCCACGTAGTGAGACCTGGGTAATATTAATTACCGTTTAATTAATAATCGTATCACTCTTAACTGGGTAATGCAATTATTAATTAAAAGCTGAATAATATTAGCAAATTGGCTACGATCCGCTTTGCATAGATCATCATAAATATAGAACTTCTTCACTAGGTTAGTTTTAATTCTCATTGATTCATCAAAGATTCAAGAATATTGTCACAGACGAGGTATACAGGTAGATCTTTCACCCAATGGATTTTTTGGACCCATTTGATAATACCACAGACGAGGTATATGAATAGACCTTTCACCTAATGTAATTTTACGGCTCGAGTTTCTGGGGTCCCCGGACCCCATTACCATTTTTGTGTCACTCGCAACGTTACCAACAGATTCAGAAATGAATTTTAATCCCTTTCATAGTCAACTCACATGGATTTACGCAAAACTACAGCTGTTTGCCTATCAATATTAATTCAGTGAATAATTTCTCAACTGACCGCCATCCATGAGAAGAGGACGCTGAAATCACCTCCGAATTTTTCGCTCAGTATGGCAATTGTTCGAACTGACGTACAAAAAGACAAAAATTAACGAGATACACTCTTCCAAAGTGGAACAAAATGTTAAAAAGATCATGCATCAAATTGTAAGGGAATCCTCGTAAGAAGGTTTTAATCTTCGTAATGGTTTTAATGGGTCGATGATCAACAATGACTACCTTATGGTCACTGGTGGTCAATAGTGAGGTGGACATCAAGGTCAGCGGTCCAGTGAAGATCCAGAAATGGTCAAGAGGTGGGACCAATCGAAATAGTTTCTTTGTAGACGAGACAGTCTTACCTGTTATCTTCAACTTTGGCTCTGACTGGTCTCCCCACCCTTTCATCACCTTAGACATATAAGCAGGGTCACTGCGAAGATTTCTTCAGTCGCGTCGCGAATTCGGGAGTGTACAAAAAGCCAGAGGAGAACCGGGGACTGCTGCTGACCTCTGCTGGCCGCTGCTGACCACAGCTGACCATGGCTGACCAATACTGACCACTACTGACCAGTGCTGATTCGCGTTCCTGCCACTACTGACCACTACTGACCAGTGCCGGACGGTGATGACCAACGGTAAGAACTGTTTAAAAATTCTCTCCCCTCTTCTATTCTATCATTTGATGTCAATTTTGCTTCAATGAACTGATTTTGCCTTGTTTATCTAACCGATGTTGCTATAATATGAATATTTTCTTACTTTACAGCTGGCCCTTATGGTAACTACCCTATGTACTGACAACAAGTAGTAAGTCCACTCCACTTATTTATATTTTATTATTTTTATTTGTTTGTTTGATGTGAATTCAACTTTATTTATCTATCTGATTTTATTTGGTTATTATGAATGTTCCTTGTCTCTGTTTCTACTTTTACATTGTTTTGCGAATTTATGTGGCTGCTTCGATATGTATAATATTGCAGGATATAATAATATAATATTGTTTTCAATCATACACTATATTTGTTTCTATACAAATTCATGAATTCATATTTTTACGTTCTTGCTCGAATTCTCGTAATATTCTACGGTGGTACTTTGTTTGATTCTTCCATTTCGTTTGATTGTTTGGTGTTGATTCAACTTGGTGTCTCGATCCAAGTTTCTTTCATCATTAGGAGTGTTCGTTTTGATATGAATAACATTGTGTCGATGCATATACCGTATTTGTTTCGATGTCTCTGACTCGTTTTTTCGTTCGTGTTCGTTGTTCGACACTGATTAATATAAGATTCTTATTTTTACTTCTCAGCTTAAATTCTTGTAACATTTTGCTAATATACTCTGTTCAATTCCCTTTAGCTAGGTGATAGATCATTTTAAAGTGTTTATTAAATTTCCTACCATATCTCACTAATATACATATGAGTTTTGATTTCAGTTTAAATTTGGGTTAATCGCAAGGACATCGAGGGAGAACGCCACAACCGCCGAGGGACCTTTAATTGCAAGTTGATTAGTCTTAAGCTTCGTCGCGAGTATTAAAATTAACGTCGAAGCCTTCTTTATTATACGTATCTCCGCGTCCTACCAAGCAATTATTCAATAAGTAGCTTGTCTCTCGCTCGTTCCCTCGTTCCTAGCTTCGGTCACCGCTGTTTCATCGATTGAAACATGTGATCGGCCGTGTAGCTGATCCGAAAGATCTAATCGCCTTCCCTTTGGTAGCTCGATCGAGGGAAAATGGTACTTTGCTGGAAGGTGTGGAGTTTCCGTATTCTGCGGAAACGCACACCTTCCAGCGAAAGTCGACACTGTTTCAGGTACTCTCTCTATGTCAGACAACTTGAGTCGGGTCCTTTGGGCTCCCGGCGGGTTGCATTGGAGCAATGGAGACCTTCGATTCGGAGTCGCAGCCGTCCGTTATCCTATAGAGATCTAGTTAGCAAGGGCAGTAGGTTCGATCCTCGGATCCGCTGCACGGTTCAGCGTCGCGTCGCTTCGCGTGCCCCTCAAATTAACTTCGTCCCTCTTTTTAACCAAATAATTGCTTGGTACAACTAAACCAGAACATCCAAGGAAC